CACAAAAACTTTGACCTATAATCTGTCCTGCCTGCCAAATATGATGGGATAATGGTGGTAGAGAACTTGTGGGAACAGCCAGCCAATGTCTAATTTGACCTAAGGTCCATTCTATGGGAAGGAACCCATGCCTGGCACTGCTTGGGTAACCAATGACCTAGAGTAAAACCAAACACTACTCCCGTGGTATGGAGCCCATGCCCTAATCTGCCTGGAATGCCAGAAACCAGAGACTGGGTGGCCCAAAGACCCATGGTAGAACCAAACACCAACAAGCCTGGCAAAGAAAAAAATCAGGGAAATGATTCCTAATGATATTCTGCTGTACTCATAGTTCAGTGCCTTTTCCAGTCGTCATCAAGGAGGCTTCCTCTGGCAGCAGATGGGAGCAGGTACAGAGACCCATGGCCAGACATTATGCAAAGAGAGTCTAAATTGGAGGTTTCCATAGGATCCCCCCCTCTTGGAGATCGGGAAACCACATAGAAGATGGGGAAAGTCAGAGAGGAGGGAGGACACCAGGAAAACATGGCCCACTGAATCAACTAAGCAGAGCTCATGGAGACTGAAGCAACAAATACAGAACCTGCATCCATCTGCACTAGTTCCTCTACATTTATGTTATGGATGTTTGATTGGTGTTTTTGTGGTACTAACAGTGGGAGAGGAAGTATCTCTGACTCTTTTGCCTGCTCCTGAGACTCTTTTCCTCTTATTGGGCTGCCTTGTCCAGCTTTGATATGAGGGCTTTTGCCTTGTATATCTTGTGTATCTTGCTTTGTCCTACTGGGCTATCATCTCTTGGAGGCCTTATATTTTCTGAAGAGGAAACAGAGAAGGAGCGGGTTGAGGGAGAGGGAGGTGGTAGGGGATCTAGAAGGACTGGAGGGAGGCGAAACTATGGTTGGGATATATTATATAATAGAAGAATCTATTTTCAATACATTTTTTAAATAAAAAAAGTTCTCCAAACAAAATCCAACCAACCAACCAACCAATCAAATAAACAAAATCAAATACTACTGGTCTAGAAAAAGACAATAAAATTATTCCTAATGATATTCTGCTATACTCATAGATGAGTACCTTATCCAGCCATCATCAGAGTGTCTTCCTCTGGGATCAGATGGGAATAGATGCAGAAATCTCCAGCTAGACATTATGCAGAGGAAGAGTCTAAATTAGAGGTCTCCATCCAATCTCTCCCCTCAGAGCTCAGGGAATACAGTGGAAGAGGAGATGTAAGGATTGTAAAGCTAGAGGGGATGGAGAACACCAGGAGAACAAGGCTCTCTGAACCAACACACATATGAGTTCATAGGGACTAAAGCAGCAAGTACATGGGTCTACATAGGTCCTTTGCATATATATATGTGTATATTTATATATATTATATACTATAGCTATTAGCTTAGTATTTTTATGAGATTCCTGACTGTGCGAATGAATGGGTCTCTGACTCTTGTGCCTGCTCTTGAGATTCTTCTCCTGTTGGGTTTCATATCCAACTTCGATATGGTAGTTTTTATTTCATCTTATGTTTCATTTTGTCATGTTTGGTTGTTACATCTTAGAAGCTTATTCTTTTCTAATGAGAGACAGAAGGGAGTGGGTACAGAGGAGAGGGGAGGTGGGATAGAACTGGGAGGATTAGAGGGAGGAGAAACTATAATCAGGATATATTATATGAGAAAAGAACTGATTTTCAATAATTTTTTTTAAAAAAAAGAGAATGAGTACTCAGCCAATGATAGTTTTCTTCATTGACTCTTAATTTCATTGACCTGTATCTGACAGTGTATGTCAATGGGAAAAACCAATGGTTTTCTATGATTTCAGCCTTTAACAATTTCTAATTTTCAATGGCCTATTGTGAGTTTATCACTGTGAAACATTTATACCATTTGAAATGAGTTAATGTTATGCTGTTCTGGTACATCTGCTGTATATCCAATACCAACAATACTGTCATCCTTCTTTAGAGACACAATTGTTATGTATATTTCATTTTTAAAAATTTCCATCATAAATAATTTACATGCTAGCAATCTCAGCACTTGGGAGACAGAAGCAGAAGATTCTGGGTTTGCTGTCAGCCTAGGTTATATAGAAAGATGATATCTCAAAAAGACATAAACAAGTGAATAAATAAATAAATAAATAAACAAACAAAATATACCATAATGTTAAGTATGTCAAGTGAGATATCAAATCACTTGAGTTGGAAGCAAAACTTTGGCAGGAAGACATGTGTCTTACGGCTTTTTATTAGGATATCTATCTATATCTATATCTATCTATCTATCTATCTATCTATCTATCTATCTATCTAAATATTTCAGTTTCAATCCAGAAATTCCATATGTGCTGTGAAGATACATCTAGAGGGTTGCAGAGAGGGAATTTATGAACTGGATATTATGTTCTATTTCCTTTTAAGAATGCAGACTTTTACCTTCAGTCAATATGGAATCTGTTTCTCCTTGCACCTCCCAAAACACATGGCCATAGATTTCCTATTAATGACAGCTCTGAAGAGTTGATGTATGAATCCTGCTTCCACACTACACACACTTGAGCATAGTACTTAGGCTTGCTATATATCCTTATTACAGAATATTGCCTTCTTTGCTCCCCAGCATATCCTCCAGTCCTGACAGTGTCTGGTATGTAATAGACCAGTTAGCATTCATCAAACACAGTGAACACAATGGGACTGCAGAGGCTTTTGATGTGAGACATTTTCTCAGTGGTGGCATAATTTAACTTAGATGACAACTAAATTTTGAACACATGTTTAGAAGAAGAAACTCAAGTACTTATAGGTTATTAAAGGAAAATAAAATGCAGTGAAATGTTTTTCTTAAGCATCTAAGGGATCATATATAAAACACTAATGAAATAGCTGTTACAGCAGCCCGAATTCCTGACAATTGTTTACCACATAGACACCTTATATGATGTATGCAGATGGAAGCTATTAATTTGAATTACTTTAGAAAAATAACGTATATAGGCATTTATAGTTCATCATTATAATGTAGCAATATTCCCCCCTTTGTTTTACTAGATTCCCACAGTGCCTACCAGTCATGAATAAATTTATGTACTTGTTTTTCACATTGAAGCAAAATGGTTACGAGACTAAAATGTCTTCTTTCATTTTTTTACACTACAAGCAAATGAAACAAAGGACATATGGATAAGGAGAATAAGTCACATCATGGAGAAATTAGAACTGGATGCCCATTAATAATTTTCAGACTCAGAAACATAAGAACATTTATTACTGACTAATATTGGTACAAAAGTAATTTTAATCTGTTTTTGAAATAATATTTCAAGTAGGTACAGTTTTAAGTTCAAGTAAATGCTTCCAGAATAAGAAATAATTGTGTATTTACCAGATCATCAATATATAAACGTGATCATAGATCATCAACAAGCACAAATAATACAGTATTTGTATTTGTAACACAGTGAGAATTAATTCACTGGCAAAAAAATAGAAGAACACTTTAACCAATTTATATGACTTCTCAAAAGCATGAATCTTATGAAATGGTGCATCAGGAAAAAGATGTGTAGAAAGCAAACAAGGGAGAAATGTTCAATAACCAGACAATGAGTAATAACAAATAAAGCCTAAAGAAATAGTGAGATTAATTTTGTGCTTGTTTCTAAAAGGTATAGAAGAAGAAAAAGAGCTTGTGTTTAAATGCACAACACTATTTACAAGGGTTATGCCAATTTTTATTTCTATATTAGAGCTATTGGGCAGGCATGTGTTTTTCAATGTAGAAAAATAATATTTAAAGTGGTAAACCAAAGAAATTTTTTCAAATCATACCATCAGCTTAAAAGTGCAATTATTTGAGTCCCAATGTGTCAAGGTATCAAATCCATTCTGTTCTCTCCAAATGACACCCATTGTCTAACATGACAGAGCCTCTGCACTTGTGGCTACGTCTGTTGGAGTAGCTCAAAAGTGTCAGTTATGAGTCCTAAAGGCATTAGGAAAATGATTTCACTTTCCAAACCTTCCATTCTTATGGGAGTGTCTGAACTTTGCCGTAACTTACTTTTTTAGAAAAATCACCTTTAGACATTTTTATTTATATTTTGACAATTGAAGAAACTAGATCACTGAGGTTTATTAAATTACCTTTGTTTATGTAGAACAGAAATTGATGAACTGAGATATGAAACCAGTTAGGGTCACTCCTGTGTACACACTTTTAACCATTGGGTTAAAATATTACACATTTTGCCCTAGTGGAAAAAGTATAATCTTCCTTCCTCATTGCAAATTTTACTTTCTCCTAGTAATGTATGTATTCGCCTTTCAGAAAGGCATCTATGGTGGTGTGTATATGTAGGCTGTAAAGGAAGAAATCTCATATTTAATTCTTTATTAGTTTGATGATTGTTTCATGACACACATGTTTTTTGTATGTGTTGGGGAAGTAGACTTTTGTTTCCTAAATCAAAATATGTATTTAATCAGTAGTAAATAGGATATGAAATATATAAGGTGTACGGCTTGAAGCATAAGATGTATGAACTTGTAGTAGAAGGATGCATATTGAGGGCAAATCAAGAAAGGAAGAAAAGACAAGATTAGATTTATGGTAGTTGAAGATTATTAGTGATGGACTGAATACAAATGGAGATTTGCTTATAGGGGATTAATATGGCATAATTTGATATAGTATAGTAGAGCAAAGAAATACTGGAGGAAGAAATTTCAGTCAAAGGACCTTTTAAAACACACACACACACACACACACACACACACACACACA